GGTAAATCTGTCTTGTCCATTTTAAATATTAATGCTAAATCTACTTCTGGTACTTACTCACATTATGCAGGTTTCTCATCCGCTGAGGGTATTCTTGGTTCAGTTCCATCCCCGGTTGTGTGTCAAATTTGTTTCTCTGCAGGTCATTCTGCATTACAATGTCCGTCTCGTTTTTCACAACCTGCACCGGCCTTGATTGCCCCAACTGGGGAAACTAATGATGCTCTGTGGTATCCAGATTCCGGAGCTTCTGCTCACATGACCTCATCTGAAGGTATTTTGTCCAATAAATCCCCTTATTTTGGCTCCATGTCTGTTAGTGTTGCAAATGGCATTAAACTTCCCATAGCTAATATTGGTAATATTACGTTAAATACTCCTGGCCGCCCGTTGTCACTAAAATCTGTTTTTCATGTGCCTCAAATTAAATTCAATTTAATTTCTATTCAAAAATTGTGTGCTGATAACAATTGTGTTGCGATTTTTGATAAAAATTCTTTTCTTGTTAAGGACAAAATTTCGGGGGCGGTTCTTCTTCAGGCGCGTCATAATGGTCATCTCTACCCAGTCAGCCTCAGTCCTCCTGCACCCTTAGCTCTTGCTTCCGCTATTACCTCTGGCCCTGTGTGGCACCGTAGATTAGGACATTGTGGCGAATCTGTTTTACGCCTGTTACGTAATAGAAAACTTATTTCTCATTCTTCAAATTTTGAACATGATTGTGTTTCTTGTCGTTTGGGTAAATCTCAGCGGTTACCCTTTTCAGATGCTAGTCATAATTCTACTTCTCCATTAGAGTTAATTCATTCTGATGTGTGGCAATCTCCAGTTTTATCTAACCTAGGTTTTAAATATTATGTGTGTTTTATTGATGACTTCTCTCGCTTTACTTGGATTTACCCGTTGCGCACCAAACATGAAGTCTTTTCCCAATTTCGTCTCTTTAAATTTTTAGTTGAGAATTTATTTAATTCTAAAATTAAAGTTTTTCAAAGTGATGGAGGGGGTGAGTTTGTTAATTTTGCTATGCAACAATTTTTAGCCGAAAATGGTATTTATTTCCAAAAATCTTGCCCTTATACTCCTCAACAAAATGGTGTTGCTGAACGCAAACATCGCCATCTTTTGGAACTTGCTCGAACTATGCTTATTACAACTTCCGTTCCTAGTAATTTTTGGGTGGATGCTATTTTTACGGCTGTCTATATTATTAACAGATTACCCTCTCCCACTCTTTTTGGTGCTTCACCATATGAAAAACTTTTTCACAAAATTCCTGACTATAGTTTGCTTCGTGTTTTTGGGTGTGCTTGTTATCCGAATTTTCCTGCGTCTTCTTCCAACAAACTGTCACCACGTTCTGTTCAGTGTGTTTTTCTTGGTTATGCATCTGGCTTTAAGGGGTATCGCTGTTTTGACCCCAAATCTGGCAAGGTATTTATTAGCAGACATGTTCGTTTTCATGAAAATATTTTTCCATATGCCACTTTGTCTTCGTTTACGGGTCATGAATCTCCATCATCATCTTCATCTAGTCCCGAAGATTTTACTCTTATCAATACCACCCCTACTTCTATGCCTACAGTCCCGTGCGTATCTCGTCCCCCACCCACTGTACACTCCAACACCATAACAACGCCCTCAGCTCTTCCCAACTCACCACGGCAACCCACTGCTCCAACACCTCCCTCCACATCACCTTACCATTGCCGAACCTCCTCACTACCAAGCCCTCACTCGACCCACCCCAGTCCTAATCCAGCCACTTCACCTCTCTCTCGGCCTGCAACTCCTTCCCATGACTCTGATGCGTCTGCAGAAGCCTTCACCCGACCTGATGTGGCTCCAGTTGTGCAGCCGCAGCTACCGGCCATTGCACCGGCGACATCTCCGTCTGGACAGCTGGCTAATTGCCACCCCATGCAAACTCGGTCTAAGTCGGGCATTTTTAAACCCAAAATGATTTTTAATTTAAACACAGTTGCTTTATCAGCAGATCCAACTTGTTTTCAGAGGCCAACAAACAGTTACAATGGCGTGCGGCAATGGCGGAGGAATTTAATGCTCTTATTTCTAATAATACTTGGGATTTAGTTCCGTTTGACCACACTAAAAATGTTGTGGGCTCTAAGTGGATTTATAAGACTAAGTATAATTCTGATGGTTCTATTGAGCGTCACAAAGCTCGATTAGTTGCTCAGGGGTTTAATCAACAGGCCGGTGTGGATTTCTCCGAAACTTTTAGTCCTGTTATTAAACCCACCACAGTTCGTATTGTTCTAACTCTTGCTATTTCTTTTGGTTGGGTTATTCGTCAGTTGGACGTTAAAAATGCCTTTTTGCATGGTCATCTCACTGAGGAAGTATATATGCGTCAACCGCAGGGTTTTATTCATCCCACTTTTCCTAATCATTTATGTCGTTTGCGAAAAGCCATCTATGGGCTCAAGCAAGCCCCGCGGGCATGGTTTCACAGGTTTAGTAGCTTTCTACTTTCTCATCATTTCACGTGTAGCAAGTCTGATAATTCATTGTTTATCTTTCGTCAAAATAATAATGTCATTTATTTATTACTTTATGTTGATGACATCATTATTACTGGCAATTCGTCTGCTGCTATCACTTCTTTTATTCAACTTGTTGCTCAGCATTTTGCTATGAAGGATCTCGGTGATCTTCATTATTTTTTAGGAGTCAAGGCTGTCCGCTCAGATAAAGGTTTGTTTCTATCCCAGCATAAGTATGTTTCTGACCTTCTATCTCGTTTTCACCTCCATACTCTCAAGTCTGTCCGTACTCCGCTTGCTACTCGCACTTCTTTATCCCTCACTGATGGGGAACTTCTTGCTGATGCTACTGAGTATCGTAGTATGGTTGGTGCATTACAATATTTAACTTTGACACGACCTGATATTACCTATGCTGTGCATTTAGTGTCTCAGTTTATGCATGCTCCTCGTACTACTCATTTTTTTTTTGCTGTCAAGAGGATTTTTAGATACTTGCAGGGGACTATTGAGCATGGTTTGTGGCTTCAGCCTACATCTCGAGCTACTTGTGTCATTGCCTACTCTGACGCTGATTGGGCTGGCTGTCCAGATACGTCCCGTTCCACAACGGGTTTTGCAGTTTTCTTGGGTCCGAATCTTGTCTCCTGGAAGTCCAAGAAGCAGCCTACTGTCTCCAAATCCTCTACAGAAGCTGAATACAGGGCCATTGCTTACACTGTTCAGGATACTTTGCATATTCGTTCCGTATTGGTTGAGCTCGGTTTTCCCATTACTACGCCGGTTCAGCTTTTTTGTGATAATATTTCTGCTTCTTATATCACTGCTAATCCAGTTCAGCATGCTCGTAGCAAGCATATTCAGATTGACTATCACTTCGTCAGGGAGCGTGTGGCTCATGGAGATCTAATTGTGAAATACATCCCTGCTCAGTTACAGTTAGCTGACATTTTTACTAAAAGTCTTTCTAGTCAGCAATTTCATTTTTTAAAAGACAACATGCGCGTTGTATCTCCCGCACAGTTTGAGGGGGTGTAATAGAATATTATTAGGAAGATTTGTTTCCTATTCTGTATTAAACTCTTCAATTATAAATAGACACTCAGGGCTCCTATTGGAGCACCTTTTTCCTGTTTATTCACAGATACTTCATGAACAATAATCATGATAGGGATATTGTGATTTGCCAGCTCTAGATGGCAGGTAATCTTGAATGTCTGTGAGCTTACATACAGTTTGATAAATAGTACTACCTGCGCGGCTGCGCCCCCTAATATTGAGAGAAAAGAGAGTGGTGTGATTTTTAAGAAAAGTAAAATTATGTGATTGATAATGAGTTGATAAAGTGAGAATAAAGTAAAATTGAATTAGACCCACACAAATGTTACCAAATATGGTATGAGACAATAATAAGAGAACATCCAAAAATGAAAAAATGGGACAATTATAGGGGGACGGAGGGAGTAAGACGCAACTTAATGCGATCAAATGTATGTCCAATGTAAATTTATATTCTAAAAACTTATTTGATTATACTTCTTACTAAAGTCTAAACTAACACTTAGGGGCTATTTACTTTCGACTGAATCACTTAATGGACTTAATGACAACAGTGACTTAATCACGTAGTCATTAAGTCATGTTTAATTACGACTTAATTGAAAACATGCCTTAATCATTCAATCAAAAAACTGACTTAATCATTAAGCTGGAAAATAGTAGTTTTTCCCATTAAGATGTCTATTAAGACGTCGTTTATATAAAAAAAAAAAAAAGGAAAAATGGAAATTAATAATTCAACCTTTTAGCGGTCTTCTTTTAATAGTCCGACCTTTTCGTTATTCATGAATAATCCAACCTTTGCACCTCATCTTCATTCATTGGTCCCCGACCGGTTGATGACCTGCTATTCCGAGTTATTTTCTTATATCTGCAAACTATTATACCATAAATTCCACCTTTCACAAAGATAAGAAAATAACTTGGAATAACATGTCATCAACCGGTCAAGGACCAGTGAATGAAGATCAGGTGCAAAGGTTGGATTATTCATGAATAACAAAAAGGTGGGACTATTAAAAGAAGACCGCTAAAAGGTTGAATTATTAGTTTCCATTTCCCCTAAAAAAATCATTTATGGAATAGATTTATGTTCATAAATGATATTTCTCATTGACATTATAGCCCGAGAATAATCGTAAATTGATTATCTTACTCAATTCAGACAGTTTATTCAGCACACAAAATAAACAACCTCATATACAAATACCACTCAATCCGGATAGGACTTAATAGAAAAAAAGAAAGTAAACAACCCCTTAGCAACTCCTAAATAAGTGAACATTTTGTTGATTGGTAATTTGTGAGAGAGTGTGTAAATATACACCTGTATTTCCTGATTATATTCTCAACTTTTGGTCCGGTTTGTCCAGTTGGCTGCTTCATATATTCATAGTAATGTTGTTCCCTAGATAGGTGTAAAATAATTTGGTGAGAATAAACAAGAGTTTTTTCCCTAGATAGGTCATAGGTGTAACAAAAAATTAGTGAGAATAAACAAGAGTTTTTTCCCTTGAAGAAATGGTCTAAATTTGGATCTTACGAAAGTAATGAGTACACCTCCAAGCAGGAAGTGTTTCACCATTTACCACTACACCACAGTGACTCCATAGGAACAAGTGCTTCAAATAGTGAAGGGAGAATGTAATATTGCAAGAGCGTAGTAAGGAAGATGAAGAAACAAATATACAACACACTTGAGTTAAATTCTAGATGGAATCATGGGAGTGGTGCTCTGCAGGTAAGAAGAAGCTGCTGCAACTCCACTGCCCAGATTCACTGGGTAACCAACATCTTTTAGTACCATCTCCACTCCAGCAAGACAGCCCAGTAACTGCAACTGCGGAAAATGCAACAACATTGAGCATATTCAACTCGTGTAAGGGTCTGTTTGGATAGATATTCTTGGAGGGGATGGACTTTGAAGGACATAGTCTATATTTGATACTCTATGTCCCTTAAAGAACTTTATATTTGGACTCTCACAGTCCCCCGTTTATATCTTTGACCATTATTCTTTAGAGATGTACTACTGAAAACTATAACCAAATGTTATTTAAATAGTGCTACCTTCGTTCCGCTAAGATTGTCTCATATTATCTTTTCCGTCCGTCTCACTAAGATTGTTCCATACCAAATTTGGTAAAGTTTATGTGACTCTAAATCATTCTTACTTTATCAAATCAATATCAACCACATAAACCGCTTTTTATTGGTTTGCGTCCCACTCCCTCTTGTCCCATTGTTAGTGGGACGGAGGTAGTATCAAAGTACGGAAAAGGTACTTGTGGTTGGGCCTGTTTTCAGATAGGGTCATGTGTTTCATTCTCTATCAAAGTGGTTCATGTGTTTGAATTCCGTTATCACAAGTGACTCACTAAACGTCTGAAAAAGACCGTTAAAAGTAACTCCGATTTTCAAAAGTGCCCGAAAAATTAAAAGGAAAATACCGGAAGGTGCACCTCATCAAGATGACCTCCAAACCACCTTCGCCTTTGGATTTTTCAGATCTGTTAGAATTATTTTTTAAAAATGATTTTGCTAATATCACTTTTCCGGTGGACTTTCCGGTGACAAGGGTGGCTGAAAACAAAAAAGAAAGATGGCCTAGCGGTCGTCTTATTGAGGCGCACCTTCCGGTATTTTTCTTTTAATTTTTCGAGCACTTTTGAAAATCGGAATTACTTTTAATGGTCTTTTACATACGTTTTTAAAGACGTGACCCTCTTGTGATAACGGAATTCAAACACATGAACCACTTTGATAAAGAATAAAACACATGACCTTATCTGAAAATGGGCCCAACCACAAGTACATTTTCCGTACTTTTCCTTTTATATTATTATACACAATGTTCAAGTGCAATTGCGGAACAAGACCATTATGTGTGTATGTATATATGCACCACAGGCATGTGCGGACACACAAATGTGTGTGTGTGTATGTATAGTCGGTATAGAGAGAGAGTAGCGATTGTGTTAGGCATTTGAGGCCCTTCCCGGTGGAACTTTTTGATGAAATTTTATGTGCACGTTCTTCATCAAGTCTAGTTTATCTCCACCACATTTCAACTAAAAATTTAATCGGTAAGGCAGTCAAATAAATTCTCTACAAAAACTGCAATGTTTATATATACTCCCTCCGTCCCGCAATAAACTTCACACTTTCCTTTTTGGGTAGTCCTGAAATTAACTTCACACTTCAAAACTTTCCTTATTTGGCAAATTATCTACATCAAAACAGTGTCGAACAGTGTCCAAACAGTGCCAAACAATGTTTGAACAGTGCAAAACAGTGCACTCCACAGTAAAGTCAAATTTATTTTCTTGATATGTGTGAAGTCAAAGTGTGAAGTTTATTGCGGGACGGAGGGAGTATATATAAAGGGCAATTTTTGTAAAAAAATTATTTCAATGCCTTCGCGATCGAACTTTTAGCTGAAATTTGGTGGAGATAAACTATACTTGATGACGAACATGCTTAAAAAAAGTCATCAAAAATTCCACACGAAAAGGCTCCAAATGGTCTCGGCCTAACGGCAGTTCTCGTAAGGCCGGCCAGATATGATCTGCTCTCTCTTTTTCTAATATATACATCTCTATTCTAAAAATCGTTCTAGGCGTCTGACTAGTCTCCGTCTGGGCGCTAGGCGGTGACCGGGCGCCCTGAATTTCGTCTAGGCGCTCCGACTAATTGGTTTGCCGTCTAGGTGAATTAGTCGGCCGCCTATGGCCCCTAATTGCCCGTCTAGAGTGCCTAATCGGCCGCCTAGGCCGTCTAGATTCGCGAACATTACTTTACTTTTTAAATTTAATTTTCTAAGCGATATGTACTTTAGCTTTAGCAGTGGATATAAAGAAATGAAGTTGTAAATTAAGATAAAATTGTATTTGTTTATATATATACCTAAATTTCATCATTATTTATATGTATAACATAATGAATTTAAATGATTATTTATCATATACTACGTATGATTAAATGTGATAATTCTATCATTCATGTTTGTTAATGTATATGTATATATGTATTTTATATACACAAAAATATAATATTACTTATCATATTTACGCAAAAATATAGATAAAATGCAATTTATTTGTCTCCGACTAGTCCTCGACTAGGCGCCCGCCTAGCCGCCTAGGCGCTGGGCTGGCGCCCGACCAGCGCCTAACACCTTTTAGAACATTGATATATATATATATATATATATATATATATATATATATATATATATATAGAGAGAGAGAGAGAGAGAGATGTGTGAGTGTATAGTACACATTTTTATATGTTTAGTTAGCTTTTCAGTAATGCATGATACTCCGTATTATTTGATTTAGTTGTATGTTTTTATGCTTTGGACTGAAAAGAGATCATGTTAATATTTAAGCAATTGAACCCAAAATAAGTTGCAACAAATTTTGAAGTATTCCCAAAGTTGCCAAAATTTATGCTGAACGCACAATTCCCCCAACTCCTTTTATCTTTTGTGATAAAGTGACTAAACTCATAAAGAGCAACAAGAAACTTTCATTGATCAATTTAGAAGAAATCTAGGGTTCTTCATATTTCTCTCTCTTCATGAGAAGTAAAGCATTAGGGTCTCTTCGTGAGAAGGTAATCGCATACGATTTTCGAGTGTTTTGATCTAGTTTCAGAATGGCTGGGTTGGAAGATCTCAGGCTTAGTGATGAGGAGGATGAGGTATTGACATTTTCTAATCCGGTGCATCAAGACCATAGCACAAATATAAATTTATGTTTAGTTGGTCGTTTCCTGACGACCAAACCAATTCGCACTCACATGATGAAAGAAAGATTGGCTACGATTTGGGAACCACATGGAGTGGCTATCAAGGAAGTGCAAAGAGGTATTTTCTTATTTCAGTTCTTTCACAAACTGGATATGCAACATGTCTTACGAGGAGGGCCCTGGCACTTCGATAATCACCTATTAATCTTGGCAAAGATGGGTGTTAATGATATACCTTCTCAAATTCCATTATTTAATGTGGATTATTGGGTACAAGTGCATGATCTTCCCATGATACTAATGACAGGGGAAGTCGGAAGAGGGTTGGGAAATTTCATTGGTACTTTTGTGGAATATGACTCAAAAAACAATGTCGGTTTCTGGAGAAACTACATGCGATTATGCGAATAAGGGTGATTTTGGACGTCCGCAAGCCTCTAAAACGGGGAAAGAAAATTAGTTCGGTAGACGGAGAGGTCAAAGTAGTGCGATTCAAATACGAGAAACTGAATGCATTCTGCTTCCTATGTGGAATTATGGGTCACTTGGACAATCAATGTGATAAATTATACGAGATGTCAGAGGATAATGGGGAGAGGGGCTGGAGTGCAGAACTACGGGTTGAAAGGAGGCGTCCAGGGGGGTCTGGGGGATGTCGTTGGCTTCGTGAGGATAGAGGAGAGCACCAGAATACATATGGTGCAAATAACAATGTTGCTACTTCTTTCAGATCTCAGGGCACTGTGGGTGGTCCAATCATAATACCAGAAGGTCCTAGAGGCGGCAACAACATACAGTTTCAAGGAGGAGAAAATCTTACGGAGGACCCTGAGGTAGCAACAGAAAGGAAAAGGATACGTCCCTTACAGAGTGAAGCATCAGTCAATGTCAGCTCAGCAAAAACATATTTCTTTTTTTGGGGTGGGTCCTGGGCACCAGGCCCACCAAGACCAATGATTGTTTTAAGTTGGAACTGCAGGGGATTGGGTCACCTCAATGCAGTTCCTGCACTTCACAACCCCGTTCGGTTTCATAAGCAGGATGTAGTTTTTCTATGTGAAATGCTTTGTTGTAGTAATCAAATTGATGAAGTTCGGAGGAGCATAGGATTTGAGGCTTGCTTTGCGGTGGACAAAGACGGGAGGAGTGGGGGATTAGCTGTTTTGTGGAGACACACTGGAATGGTCGAATTAATGAATTACTCCAAGAATGTCATTAACATGGTAGTCAAGGAGGAAGCCACGCGGCCTTGGCAACTTACTGGGTTTTATGGCATTCCAGATAGAGGAAGGAGGAAGGAGTCTTGGGAGATTTTAAGAGCCTTAGCTGCTAATGTCAATCTTCCCTAGTGCATTATTGGGGATTTTAATGACCTTCTAGCGCAAGAAGAGAAAAAAAGGCAAGATTGAACATCCCGTGTGGCTAATTAATGGATTCAGAGAGACGGTTAGGGGACTGTCAATTGATAGATATTCCATTACAGGGTTGTCAGTTTACTTGGTGGAGAGGCTGAAACTCAGAGAATGCTATAGAAGAGAAGCTGGATCGAGCGATGGCAACAGAGAGTTGGCTGCAATGGTTTCGCCTTAGTAGCTTAAAGAATTTGGTAGCCTCTCATTCAGATCACTCCCCCATTTTGCTCACAACTGAGACTAGAAATTACAGCTTTCGGAAAAGGAGTTTTAAATTTGAGAATTCCTGGTTAGTGGAACCTGAACTAAACCAAGTTGTGAATGAGGGATGGTCAGAAGCTCATGGGGAGCCTCTCATGCTGAAAATTGAAAAGTGCACAGCAAAATTAGACTCATGGGGACGCAAGTTGAGACGCAGGCACTCAGAAGCTATTGACAAATGTAGATTTAAGCTAGAGGAAGCACAAAGGTCCATGACTGAGGAGGCGGGGCGTGAAGCGGTCTTCTAAGAGCCGAGTTGTCTAGGCTGCTTTCACAAGAGGAAACATTCTGGAAGCAGCGTGCAAAAGTATTTTGGATGCGAGATGGCGACATGAATACTAAATTTTTTCACGCGGCAGCCACCTGCAGGAAAAAAAAGGAATAAAATTACCAGATTGATAGATGAAAATGGAAC